TCATGCTTTGTTCCCTGGCCTCGTACTCGTCGTTGACTTGATTCAGCACCAGTTGCGAATCGCTGAAGACTTCGTTATGTTGGGAGTCGAGTTCCTTGGGGAGCTGCAATCCTACGAGGAGGGCTTTGTACTCGGCTTCATTGTTAGATGCGGGGAAGTCGAACCTAAGTGCGAACTCTATTATGGCATTATTTGGGGTGAGGGGGATGAGGCCTACTTCACTTTCCTTGGCGTTGGACGACCTATCAATGAAGAGCTTCCGTACGGGTTGAGCTTCCTCGTTTGGCTGATTCCCTTCTTCTGCTTTATTGTGCTTAGTTGCAGGTCTTGACTGGTACTTGAGGTCGAAACTCTATGAGCTTGACGGCCTACTTAGTCAAGCATCCCAAGGTCTCAGGCTTGGTGAGGACAGCTTTAAGGGGTTGGTTCGTCAGGACCACAACGGTGCGAGCTTGAATATATGGCCTGAGCTTTCTAGCCAAGACTATGAGGGCGAATGCCAACTTCTCTACTTCAGGGTATTTGGTCTTGGCATCACAGAGGACCTTCTTGACAGAGTATGTCGGTCTCTATATCCCGTCATCTTTTACCAAGGCCAAGCTAATGGCCTCATCCCCGGCCAATAGGTACAAGTACAAGATCTCTCCTTGTGTAGGCTGAGCTAGGAGGGGAGGTGAGGCGATGTATACCTTCAGCTTGTCAGAAGCGTGCTGGAACTCCTCCATCACTGAAAATCTTTTAGTTTCTTGATGGCACAGAAGAAGGGAAGGCAACGGTCTGCCAACTTCGACATGAAGCGGTTGAGGGCAGTTATCCGGTTAGTGAGTTCCTCTTCTTTTGCCGAACTGGCCTAGAGCTTGGGTCCACGCTCAGCCTGTGAGTGATGACCAAAGGGTCAATTCCGGGCATATCAGCAGCGAACCAAGAAAAGACGTCGACATTAGTTTTGAGGAAACTTACTAGTTTGGATAGGCGTTATGGGGGAAGGTTGGACCCGACGCGAACTGTCTTCTTAGGTTTGGCCTCATCCTGGGGAACACAGACAAGGTCCTCGGCTTGCTAGATCCTCCCTGAGGTCAAGGCCCTCAAACAATAGTGTTTCCTTGTTCTTGCCCTTCAATGCTGCCACATAGCATTGGTGGGGGACTTGCTGGTCCCCTTGAACGATTCCGATGCCGTGTTCATTGGGGAACTTGAGGGCGAGGTGGTAGGACATGGCTGCCTTGAGTGCATGGAGGGTCGGTCTCCCCATGATGGCATTGTAGGGTGAATTGATCTTCACAACAAGGAACTCATTTATCCTCGTCACCTATTGTGGCTTGCTTCTTCTTGTGATAGGTAGGGTGATTCTATACCCTTTGGTCTAACCACGTTCCCGAAGAAGCCGACTAGTGGAACATCGCTGGGATGGAGGCGCTAGGGCTCTATCTTCTTTTTCTTAAATGCTTCGTAGAAGAGGATGTTGGCCGAGGAGCCATTGTCGACAAGGATCTTCATTACTACGAAGTTGGCGATGATGGCTGAGATCACGAGGGCATCATCATGGGAGATTGCGATCTCTTTCAGGTCCTTGTCCTTGAAGGCAAGGGTTTCTTGATGCTTTAGCTTCTTGGGGGCAKGTCCATTGATGTTCAATTGCCTGGGAGGACGAGGCACCAGTCTCGCTTCTGATGAATTGCTTAAGGTGCCCTCATTAGATGAGAGACTCTATCTTGTTCTTTAATTCGTAGTAGTCCTCAGTATCGTGGCTGGTGTCACGGTAGTATTTGTAGTATTTTTTCGGATTTCCCCTCTTGGGGTTCCTCTTCATCTTCTCTGGCCACTTTACGTATTTCTCCTTGCTGACCTGCATTAGTATTTGGGCCGGGTGGAGTTGAGTGGCATGTACTGACTATAGGCCAGGGTCGAGACTGGTGGCTTCTTGTTGTCCTTGTTGCTGTGGTTGTGGTGGCCTCCGCTCTTCCTCTTCTTCTCTAGGGGCTCGTTGTTACGCTTGACTTCCCTTTCTTGGTTGTCTCCAGCCGAAGTCTCCAATGCTGCGATGTACTTCTAGGCCTTCTTTAGGAATTCCATCTTTGTCTTTGGTGGGGTCTTGGCGACCTTGAGCTCTTCTTTTTTGAAGTGGTTGATATAGGACCGCAAACTTTCTCCCTGTTTCTGCTTGATGGACATTAGTGAGACTACGCTCTTTTGGCATCGTTTGCTGCTGATGAATCAGGCGAGGAATAAATTGGCAAACTGCTCTCACGAGCTAATAGACCGAGGCGAGAGGCTAGAGAACCACCACCGAACAGCCCCCTTAAAGGTGGCTTGGAAGGTCCGACATGTTAGTGCATCAGAATACCCATACAGTATAATGAGGGCTCAAAACACTCCAGGTGATCGTCGGGGTCCGTGTTCTCTCTGTACATCTCTAACGTGGGAGCTTTGAAGTGTTGGGGGAGTGGCTCGGAGATGATGTCTAGGGTGAAGGCGTCCATCCTCCCCATCGGATTGCTTTGGCCGGCCGAGGCATCAGCTTGACTCACCCGAACTTGGCGGATCTCATCCTTGATGGCTTCGAGCTAGGCTCATTGTTCCGCAATCCGAGGGTCGGGTGGAGCCTGTGTCCCGTCCTTGTCTTCATGGGCTCGGTGGGGATCAACACAAATCCCATAGTACTTGGATGCGGGGCCACACCCTTCCTGTCTAGCACAACGATCATTCAGGATGTCACGGAGGTCCGATACCTGTGGGGAAGAGGCGCGACGTTGGCCTTCTGCTCCTGAGTGGGCGGCGATGGTGCTGCTTAGAGGGCTGGTGACTGTCGTCGGACCATGCTAGCTCTTCCTTCAGCTAAGGGGCCTCACGCTCCTCCGAGGTGGGCTAGCGAGGCGATTGCTTCCGAATTCTGAGGGCTTATCTCGCTAAGGGTCAGTAGGGCCGAGGGCTTGTGGTTTTGCGGACTCACATTGGCTCTAAAGTCCTAATGCCCCAGCGATGCGATCACCTTGAGGGTGGCCTCCTGCCTGGGGGCAGACTCGCTTGACACGTTGGGTGAGGTAGTCCAGATGGCCGAGGACCACCTGGAACTGTAAGCTGGTGACCAGGTTCTAGACGTTCCCGATCCTTTGTACCAAGTTGTCCGAAGCTTAGGAGGATTCTCTTGGACGGCGCCATTTATTGTCTTAGTGACGGTTCCCACGGATGGCGCCATTTATTGTCGCTCGGATTGATTGAGGGCAACACTGTAAATTCGCTCTTGAGAATCGGGATAGAATGGAGTGCTTGAAAGACCCTGAGGACTTCGAGAGGGTACTAAAGGCGAGGGCTAGTTGAGGCTTGGAGGGAAGTGCCGAGGCCAGGCAGACTACCTCCTTGAAGACTGAAGAAGCAACCGAGGACTAGTGGCCGAAATGGATAATCTCGAAAGGGTTGGTGTCGAAGTTAAGCTGCTTGTCCATGCATACATGGGATCCGAGCTCTGCAAGGAGAAAACGTCAAAAGCCTCGGGTGAAGACCCAAGAGAGAAAATCCAACGATCAAATTAGTATTCACACAAAGCAAGTGGCTGGTCCGGTGCAGGAGCGTCCGGATGAGGTCACTTGTTAGCACCTAAGTCCTCGATAATGAGAATACCAAGAGTGTCTTAAGTTTTAGCTCCTTCATCTTGTGGGAGGTGGAGCCGCCTGGAAATAATTGGGCTCGATGGCCAAGATGCGAGGCGTATAAGGTGAGGCACGATCAACGGGGCCACACAGCATCCCGCGATTGGGCCTGCGCGGTCCCTTACGCTCCATGATGCGTCCTTGATGGCGCTTCTTGGCTGGACACGTTTCATCCCTTTATTGGCCCAACCGAATGCGCCCGTATCACATATAATGTAATATTGCATAAATATAAATATTATATCTATAAAAAAAGAAATTGATAGACAATTTAAAAAATTATATACCGAAGAATATAAGAAAATAAAAGTAAAAATTGTAAAAAAATGTATTAATTGCAAAAACGTATAAAATTAATAAATTACAGAAATTGCAAAAAAATATAAAATGCAGAAAAACAAAAAAGAAAAAAAAAGAAAAAAAAAAGAAAAAACGTTTCTTCTAATCTTCTCACGTGATGTGATCCTTCGTTAAGTGAACTGAAAATCCAGAAAGAGCTTCGTTGAATCAAAACGAGAGTACTCTTGTATGTTCCCGGCGGGAGCATTCCCTCGGTTTGGGTTTTCTTCTCATATTCTCTGAACTGGACTCAATTTCGCCTCAGTTCCTTTCCATCGTCTCCCTCCCTACGCACTTTTCCTTTGCTTCGAAATTCTAGAAACTACATAGTCTAGCTTCGAAAAATCATAACCATGTGCAGTCATTCAGTGGAACATTGAAGTCGGTTGTCCTTTGGGCGGAGATGGAGATCTATTGCGTGAGTAAAAGGCGGAGAGAGGGGTAAGAGAGAGAGAGAGAGAGAGGAGGAAGAGATCTATTGAATCAGGGAAGAAAATGATACAGATAGAACGGAAGGGCCGGTAGGCTGGACATAGCCGCTTTCGTCGGTGGCTCTGTTATCACTGTTATCTTCAGGGAAAAGACGATCTTGCAGCTATTGCTTTTAACCCTAAATAGTTAAATCTAAAACAATGATCCAATCGATCCTGACCCCTTTTCAGGATATTGGTGGGTTTTCAAGTGGGTGGATCGCATGGAGTTGGGATCAAAATTGCCAGCCTAGGACTCTAGATGACTCTGGTAAGAGATCTCTATGAAGAAGATGTGTAAAAGATAACTATTCTCATGTTGGACAGTCATTGTTGATTGTAGGACCCCTCAGCACGAATTTCATGATTCCTTCAACGTAAAGGTAGCACACATAATTCAAAATTTGCACGGACCATTATTTATGAAAAGTTCATACCATGTACCGCCTGCTTAGTGTTCTTCTCCTGAGTTTCTCAGGTTAGTTTCTCATGTCTGTACTAATTAGTGATTTGGTGCAATGAGATTTAGCCAAATGGTTTTCTATTAATCTGAATCATGTTGTTGGGATTCGGGAAGACGAAACGAAGACCCGACCACCCTCTAAAGAACCTCAATATCCCATCTTCAAGAAATATACAAGTAGTGCTTTAAAAAAAGGAAAAAACAAATCTCCAAAAAGAAGAAATACGATACGGATACAAGCAGCTTGGCATTAGAAAAAACAACCGATCACAGGTCCTTGTCTATTCGTCCACCAGAGCCAGATACCGTTCTCTTCAATTTATCGGTAGTCTTCTGCAGTGCTTCTCCGGCGACTTTAGCGGTGTGTTCGGCAGTTTCTCTTGTTGTTTCGAAACTCTTGGCAGCAGCCTCTTTCATGACATCCCTTGCACTTGCAGTACTGTGGTGATGAGGTTTCACGCTTCTCCTACACAGCATCAAATCCCAAGTCACAAATTAAAACCAAAAAGAAATTAACCTCACAAATTTCATATCAAAATATCAACCTCTATTAATTGCACAAGAGCAAAATTGATTACCAGAAAGAGAAGAGCGGCGAAACAACGAGGTGGGTCAAGAAATGACTCGGAAAAACAGAAAAAGAAAACCGAAAACTCACTCTGATTCTGTAGGCCTGAAATTCATCCAAGCTAGTTTGACGAAGGATCTAACTTTGTCCCAAGGGCTGACAGTAGTTTCCATCCTAATGGCTCTTTCTGCAGCATTCGGCCCTTGTTTTGCGGTTAGAATGAGGGGAGAGATGATGAGCACATAGATGATAAGAAGCTTAGAAGTTCCTCTGAGTTTGTTCATGGTTTCCAGCATTCAAAAATAACAGAGATGGGTGAAGAGAATATTCTCGTACTCTAATGTTTTTTTGACTGTGCGAACTTTAAACTGGGAAATACGTGGAGGGTGATACAGTTATCGTAAGACACGTCAAGGATACATTTGGCGCTTCCTTAGGGTTGGTGGCATTTATGAGGGAGACTGGGTTTCATAGGGGTGATCATTGCAGCGCGGTCCGGTCCGGAAATTCTGGGCTTGGCCTGGGTTTTGTGTTCAAGCCCGCCACTGCCCTGGACCCATATCAGACTCGCAAATTTTAGGGTTGGACTTGGGTTTAATATTTTAAGTTCGGTATGCGCTCGGGTCTGTATAAATTTATATATTTTGTGTATAATGTATATATACGTATGTATGTAATTTTATATTAAATTATATATTTTATATATAAATATTATAACATGATGCATAATTTATATTATATGTAGTATTTTGTATTTTATAATGTATAAAATAAGTTTATATGCATACTATGTCATTTAATATAAAACATTATAGGTATGTAATGTTTTATATATGAAAGACATTGGTCCAAAATCAGGATCGGCCCAGCCCGGGCCTATATAAACCTGAGCTAGGGACTATGTTTTAGACTTGAAACCTCGGACTGGGCCGGGCTCGGGCCTAAGCTATATCCCTTATCATAAGTACAAAGCTTAGCCCAGGCTTGACCCAACCCGGCCCATGATCATCCCTAGTTTGAGGAGGACCTCGTCAAAACAAATGGGATTGGGTTTTGAGACCTGTGGGTCTATATAAACTAATACAACATGGTACACAATAAAATGGACCGTGCTAAAATGACCCGTGGGTCGGCACGATATGGCCTATATATTGTATTTAATAATATGCATATAAAATATATTAATATATATACATATTTTTATTTTTAATTTTATTTTTTATCTTTTAATTAAAAAATGTGCGGTCTATGGCCCAACATGACATGGACCTGCCTTAAGGGTGTCAATTGATCAGGGACTGAACTCTATCCAATCCAAAATCAATTTGGACGGATTGGACAGACTAACAAGACATATTGGATTGGATCAATCTGGTCCAAAATTTTTATTAAATTGGATTGGATCAATCTAGTCCAAAATATTTATTAGATTGGATTGGACTTGGTCCGTATATGTAATAAATTTATATTGGATTGGGTTGGATTAAGATATCTGATCCATTGATAATATATATAGGTGTAAATGGACCAGGTTTGAATTAGAACCCATTTAAATTTGGGTAAATCTCTTAAACTATCTCTACTGTTTACTAAATTGACAAATTATATCTTTACTGTTTACTCTTAAGTTTTTTGACAATTGACATGCTGTTATACACTAATAGAGAAAAAATAAAATATCGAATTTACCCTTCATTATTCATCAAAATTTCAAAATAAAACCCACCTGATGAAAGTTTCCAATTTTTTTCCAAATGCAAATAAGGGTTTTACCGAGGGGGACACAACTCTTCTGTTAAATCTCTTTAAAATCAATTCTCTCTCCTCTCTACCACCTCCATTGCACACAGTGGGATGTCAAGGAATCTATCGTCACCACCGTTACAACTATTGCCACCATTGGTGAAATAGCTGAGGAAATGGCAGAGCCTCCGCGGATTGTTGTTGTTGCAGAATCTCCCTCTCCGGTTACTGTGCAACCGGAGCATCCGGAACCGAAAGTCGCTACCCRCGGATCTTCACATAGGGGCTACCCATACGGATCTGCAAGCAACTAAACACAAACTTCGTCTTCGGTGTTTTTCTGGTTTATGGCTTCAGCCAAGGTTTCTCCTTGTCATTCTTCTGAGTTACAACCCCCGCAACTCCGGCCAGTATGAACAAAAAAAGAGGGAAAAAAACTTCAGTCCACCTCCCAGGATGGAAAACAAAAATATTAGCCGATTTCTCCAACCTAAAAAACCAATAGAGAATTAGCTTACATCTGTCAGCTCCAACAGTTGGCGGAAGACCCAAAAAGAAAATATATACACCTGGACTCAGTACAGATCTGAAGCTGAAGCAGAGTCCCCCCTTACTCCCTTCGAATCAGTTCATTCCTCCAATAAACTACTTAAAACAACAAATCCGGAAAACCCAATTGAAGCAATCCTCACTCGTCATACTCGTATATCCCATACCCGTCATCTCCCTCCAGTTCAATGGGATTTAGCAGCTGAAGTGCAGAACCCAAAAAGGCTTTGCAAATCCGACGGTGAAATTCTCCCTTCACCACCAACGGTGGGCTTGGAACTAAATCGATGCCCACTGAATCCAACACCACAACTCGCTTCAATGCCCCCATCTCCTGCTCCATTCGAGCACCAATGCACAATGCTTTCCAATTGTTTCCGATGAGGGGTGATTTGGCCCGACCTAGTAAATAGTGGACACGTGGATGTGACCTGATAACTGGGCATCGACTTAGCATTTTCTGTCACCTCAGTAGGACAGGCCACCCCAGGTACCTTGGTCACCTCAGCTAGGACCGAGGTCCGAGCAGCTCGTGGTGCCYAGAACTACCAAGGTGACATGTAGCCAATTTCTAGAAGCTAGTCAGTTGTCTCTGAGCTTCACGAGAACACACCATATGTCCTTAAGTCTTATCCTCATCCGACTTGGATCGGATGGATTCGATAAGCCTTGTCAGCTAGCACGATATCCACCTCACGGTGAGGAACAGACTCTTAACAACACACACCGATGATCTCGGAGGTGTTTCATGAGACCCACAACAGCTTACCTATATAAGGGCGTCTATCCCAATGCTACAAGGTACACGCAATTTACTGATCACTAGCTATTGTTATAAAAAACTTACAACTCGCATACATCAGCTACTAACTTAAGAATTGGAGTGACCACGTCGGGTTAGCCACCCTAGGTTTTCTGATCCTACTTGTCTTGCAGTTTGACTGGCCACTTAAGCAACCGACGTTCAAACTGCCATCCAAATAGGAGCTACCAGATCGTGCACGATCAGTTCCTAAGCAGCTTCTTGCATTTCAGATCTTCGAAAAAAATTACTGAACACATCAATCTTGCGATCCCAATCTCTGTTGGTCCATATTTTTCTCCTTATGGGATTTAACGTCTTGTCGAGCTGGTGTTGTATGTATCCACTATAGGAGGTATACCCAGGGCAAATTCAGAGGTCACTACTTGAAGATGGAGTTGTTAGAGGCAAAAACGACGTTTTCAAAGCGACACTGTTATGTTCTGGCTTCTCTCTCATTCGGAGACGACAAACCTAACTTCAACTTGCTAACGCCTCTAGAAATGGGAGAAACGGCTCGGTTTGTCTTTGCCACTGTTCCACTTATATTGATCATCGCTGATGCTGATACAGGAGGTGGCAATGTTCTCAATGTTCAGAGGACTGTTCAGGAATTATTTGCACGACCACCGGTGCAATTTTCAACAGTGGCAGTGAATAATAAGGATATTTTAGGAATTTTAAAATAATTAATACTCACATGATGTCACATGTGAATGATGGAGGTTTTAGACAATTATTAGAAAATTTAAAGATAGCTTAAGACAATATGTAAACGGTAAGAGTACAATTTGTCAATTTTGTGAACAATAGAGATTTACCCTTTAAATTAAAACAAATTTGAATAGGTTAGACAGTCCAAATATTGAATTGGACTTGTCCGAAATAGTCCAAAATAATTATTGGATTGAATTAGACCTGGTCCATTTGTAATGGACTCACATTGGATTGGATCGGATTGAATTAAATCCAGTCCAATTGACTCCCCTAGGCTGCCTGGTCTCGTGCCACAAGCACGCCGAGCTTACCTTTTGAGGGATTCTAGGTCAGGCAGACATAGTCCACCTAGGACCACGTTCCAACCCATCAATTGGCATGACCCGAACGACCTATAAAAGTGATTACACCCAAGGAACAAAATTTCTTTCCATGATACACCGCTACACCAGTTTCCATGTAAAACTTAAAAAATAAGCTAAACAAATAGGAAGAGTATAAGGACGGAGCCAGTAATTTTTACGAGGAGCCAAAACCTAAAATGTATTAGGGGAGAAGGGAGGGGGAATAAATATAAATGGGACATAAGAGGGGCAACTATTGACTTGAGGAGTGAGGATACACGTCCGTTGATACACAAAAATATACCGATACGCGTCCGTTGATACACAAAAATGTATCGATGCTCCTCTAACTTCTGCAGGCTTAGGTTGGCCCAACCTGATCGACCTCACAGATGCTTAACTTTTTACTGCTGGTTCTAGCGACGCAAGTACTTCACCCACACCCAGTTGCGAGTTGGTTTTTTTACCAAAGTCCACCCTAAAGTTAATGAATTCTCGTTAGGCTTGGGTTGGAAGGAGTATAAACACAAATTCATAAAGTATAAATACATATAAAATATAAGGCTTTGCATTTTTCATATTTTTTTATTTAGAGTAAATTATAAAGACCCACTTGTATTATGAAGTCAGTGACAAAGTCCCCCTGTACTTTTATTTTACGACAAAAACCCCCTTAAATTTTAGTCATTAGACAAAGACCTCCTTTCATTAATGTTTTGTCAGTTAATTTCGAAAAAAATTTCATTGATTGTTTAAAGTTTTTTAAATGTCCAAACTACCCTTTTATATTGTTCATTGTCTTTTCCATTGAAGTTAGGTGAAATGGCTACAATAAAAACAACGATTTTAAAACTTTAAATAAAGAACATTAACAGAGTAAAGGGAATCCCTTTTATGACACATATAGGAAAAATGATGAATTAGAAGGGTTAGGCTTCAGTCAAAGCTGAATGCGTTCGAACATTAACATCATTCGGACATTACGAGAGAATGACACGCGTCCATAAGCGTGTGTGCATTCTATATTTGTGCGAGGATGGTAAACGGGCGTTTACCATGAACGCCGTTAGCCATCCCTCTTTCAAAGTATTTTTACAAAATCCTTTCGGTTCTCTTCTTTCCCGCGTCTCTCCAATCTCCACCCAAATCGAC